AAGAGCAACAATAATCACCAAGTTCCTCTTGTTTAAATGGAAATATAGATACCTCCTCCTCTCAGGACTGTCACGATGATTAGATGAGATACAGGAAGTCAGTGAAGGCACTGAGAACAAGGGTGGACACAAGGTTCATTTCCTTTCTTCCACCTTTCTTTGCTTTAGGTGAGGAGTGGAGGTGGGGCTCAGAATCTTAGGAAAAAGGTCAAGGCTAGGAGTCAGAATTTGAGAGTTACCCACATGAAGTTAGCAGCTAAAGTCATGAGTTCTGAGGACATCATCTGGAGAGAAAATGTAAGAGTGTATTGTGAAGATTAGTGGTTGGAGAAGATAGGCCAGCGAAAGAGACAAAGACCCTTTGTGAAGAGGGTGGAGGAGGAACCAGAAGTGAGTCAATACTTTACAAGCCAAGGAACAAATTTAAGAAGAAGGGCATCTTATCAGCCAAGGAGACGCTGAATCAGATGAGAACTGAGAAACAGTTGCTGGATTTGGACCTCTGAGAACAGTTTGAAGGACGTTGTAAGAACAGAGGTGGAATTTAGTGGGCTTAGTCAGCATCATCCTGATGACAGCTAGTGTTTCGGAGTCCCTGGGTGATGCAGATGGTTCATGTTGCAGGGCTGCTGACACCAAAAGGCTGTGGGCTCGAGTCCACCCAGAGAGGCCTCAGAAGAAAGGCCTAGCAACTTCCAGAAAATTAGTCTCATTGAAAGTTTCCATTTTTTAAAATCAGTGGTCTCTGACATATGAATTTGTTGCACAGAATACTGTTGCTCCTAGTTCCTCCTCAAATCTCACCCTGAAAACGTCATTTGCCAACTCAGATGAAGCCCCAGGCAAGACCAGAATCTTGGGACACTCTTGCATGGGCACAGTTCTATGCAGTGGTGTCACATGCAGGGGTCAGGGCCACATGGGCACTTCACTTTAGAAATAAGGGAGAACCAATATCATTGAACAAGTTGTGTAGAAATTGTTGAATGGGAACCTAAATTGCTGTGTAAACCTTTGCCAACAACGATAAAATAGGATTAATGAAAGAACTAAGGTAGAGAGTGGATCCTGGTTCTGAACCAGATGTTTTCCACCCTGTGTCTGGAGAAGAGAGAGCATATCTTTCTAATTATACATTTGTTTTTTCTTCCCAGTTATTATCATAGAGTTGGCTCCAACTCCTGACCACCTTATGTATAACAAACAAAATGTTGCCGGATCCTGTGCTGGGTTCACTTCCCTGTGTGATCCTTAAGAGCCCTTTAATGAATCTTCCTGCTTGCTTTTCATGCCTCTGGCACGGATCCTGCCTGCCGCTGAATGTTTAGTCTTCTGAAAGCATAGCTTTGTTATCATTGCCTCTTCCTTGAACACCTCCAGAGGCACCTCATCACCTCCAGGACAGGCTCTAACCTTTAGCTTCCCATTCAAGCTCTTCTGAGACTTGTCCCCGCCAGCCTCCTCAGCTTGGTCTCAGGCTCAGCAGCCACACCGGACTCCTCACTCACCCTACATATTCCCATCACTGCATTTTTTGTACATGCTGTGCTTTTCACATAGAAAGAAAGTCCTTTGTATCTCCACTTGATTCAAATCCTGCCTTCCCCTCATGGCATAGCCCAGATGTCAGCTCTCTGAAAAAGAACTTCCCAATGCTTGCCAGCCAGAAATAGCCATTCAGTTTTCGAATGCCTTCTACTGCTTCTACCAGTGCCAGCTCCCACTCATGATGACCCCATGTGTGTCAGGGTAGAACTGTGCTCAGAGGTTTTTATCGTTGAGTCTTGGGGGAAAAAAGTGCCAGGCCTCTGGTTGGACTCAAGCCTTTAACCTTTGCTAGCAGTCAAGCATGTTAACTATTTGTACCATCCAAGTAGTCCCCATATTTCTTAAGGGAATTTAATTTTCCTGTAGAATAGCAGGTCATTTGAGGAGGAGGAAGTTAAGCTGAAATCCTGCCAGTGTTCTTCACTGAAGGCTGTTATCAGAAGGCATTTTATATAGTTGTTTAAGTTACAATAAACTCTGGTGGTGTAGTGATTAAGTCACTTGGCTGCTAACCAGGTTGGAGGTTCAAACCCACGAGCTGCTCTGTAGAAGAAAGATGGGGCAGTATGCTTCCATGAAGATTTACAGCCTTGGCAACCTGATGGAGGTGACTGAGTTGAAATCAACTTGATGGCAGTGAGTTTGGAATTTTTTTTTTTTTTTGAAGCTACAGTAAAGGATCCCTGGTGGCCCAGTGGCTAAGCACTCAACTGCTAACAGAATGATGAGCAGTTCACACCCACCCAGTGGCTTCAGGGGAGAAAAGGCCTAGCAATCTACTCCCACAAAGATTACAGCTTAGGAAACCCTATGGGGCAGTTCTGCTGTGTCCCATAGGGTCACTGTTAAGTCAGAGTTAACTTGACAGCACACAACAACACTATAGTAAGATTTATACCCAAAAGGGGAATTACTGGATTATAGCATTGGCCTTTACCAAGTAATGTCAAATTGATTTCGTAAGTGGTTGCACTCATTGATACTCTTACAACAGTGTTACAGAGTTCCACTTTGCCATCCCTTGACGTTGTCTAACTTTTTCATTTTTGCCAGTCTCATGGATATAAAATGATATCTCATGAATTGAATTGTATTTTCATATACTAATGAAGTGGCAACTCTCTATGAGATTATTAGGCATTCGTGTTTTCCGTTCTGTGATATGTCTGTTTCTTTTGCCTGTTTGCCTTTTTCTTTTTCATTCCTAGGAACTCTTTATATATTCTGGATGGTCTTTATAGGTTATAAAGTAAATATTTTCCTGGACTCCTTCTGTTTTGTTCTGCCACCATATTTACAGTGCTATATTCTTCCATGTCAGTCACTGCAATAACATCTGATTCCCACCAGCCTGGCAGGAGAAAGGGAAAGGGAAGACCATGACCTGGAGGCTGCACGTCTGCTCATATCCCATTGACCATAGCCTAGATCTCTGGTCATACCATGCTGCAAGGGAGGCTGGGAAACAGCCTGTATTCCACATAGCTATTTAAAAAAAAAAAAAGTTGCCAACTCATGGTGGCTACGTGTGTTTCAGAGTAGAAATATGTATTTCCTCGAAAAGTTAGACTTGCCATATGACCCAGCGATCCCGATTCTAGGTATATACCCAGGAGAAATGAAGGTAGGAATGCAGACAGAAAACTGTACACTAGTGTTTGTTGTAGTACTTTTAATAGCAAAAAAGTGGAAACAACCAAAATGTCATCAGCGGATGAATGGATAAACAAAATGTGGTCTATAATACAATGGAATATTGTGTAGCCCTAAAGAGAAATGAAGTTTGTATGCACACCACATTGTGGATGAACCTTGAAAAGATATTGCTTAGCAAAATAAGTCAGTTGCAAAAAGGCAAATACTGTATGATCTCACTTATGAAATAATATACAGAAACCAAAGATTATTAATGGTTACCGGTGTTGAGAGAGAGGAGGATAGAGATAGTTTTTTGTTTATGGGGTGTCTTAGTGCTGCTCTAAGAGAAATACCAAAGGTGGGTGACTTTAACAAACAGAAAATGTTTTGTTTAGTTTGTTGTTATTGTTATGTGCCTCCGAGTCAGACCTGACTCATAGTGACCCCTCCTTGGGTTTCCAAGGCAGTATCACTACGGAAGTAGATTGCCTCATCTTCCTTCCGAAGAGTGTCTGGTGGGTTTTAACTGCCAGCCTTCTGGTTAGCAGTCAAGTGCCTTTGGCACTATGCTACCAGAGCTCATGGAAAGTCCGAATTCAGAGTTTTGGCTCTAAGGGAGGACTGCTGTCTGTTAGCTCTGGGGGGAGCTCCTGGGCTCTTTCCAGCTTCTGTTCCTTGCTTCCTTGATGATCCTCATGTGGCCTGTGTTGTCCTCTCGGTTTGTGCTTCCTTGTGTGCCTGACCTGCTCTTTTTATCTCTCAAGAGTGATTGGCTTGAGACACACCCTACATGGATATGTTCTCATTAACATAACAAAGAAATCCCTACTCTCAAGTGAGATCACGTCCACCAGTTTAGGAGTTTAGGATTTATCACTGTATTTTTGGTGGGCACGATTCAGTCCATAACATTGAATTTATGTTAATGGTAGTGGAATATTTTGGAAAAGAATAGCAATAATGATGGTACAACATAAAAAAATCAAATCAATGTCATTGAATTATAAATGTGGAAGTTATGCTACCAACTATTTTGGTATATATATTTTTCACCACAACTAAAAAAAAAATAAAGAATCAGAGTAGCACGATGGTCCTTAAGGTTTTCAGTAGCTCTGACCTTTTGGAAATAGATCACCAGGGCTTTCTTCCAAAGTGTCTCTGGGTAGATTTGAACTACCAGCTTTTGGGTTAGCATCTGGTAATCCAGATGCTTAACCATTTGCAGCACATTACTCAAATCAGAATTGGAAGAGACTCAATCAGGAGATCATTGAGGGACTGAAAGTCTTGGAAGAGTTTAGAAGAGGCTAAAGGAAATATTTCTTTAAATTATAATTGTCTCTCAGGAAACCTTTCTCTGATTAATGAAAATAGCTTTCCTTTTTTATTAAAACTTCATTTGAAGAGCTCTTAGTAACAATATTATGATTTGCCAAACATGCTTTTGTTTTTATTTCACAAGTACAGTTATGATTGTCAAAGAAAATATAAAGAACTAGTAAGAAATGAGATGACTACATAGATACTGAAATGAAATTTATAGTGCTTTTATTTAATTAATTAGCCAGAAAAGATGTCATGTTCATTATTTTTATAACATTTTGAGGAGCATGGAATCTTAATTACTAGGGAGTGTCCTGATATTTGTGTTTGTCAAGTTCTCATTCATCTCAAGCTAAAGTGTACAAATTAAATGATGTGATTTTTAAGATGATAGATGTGGGAATTTTGTGTGTTTAAGATATTGTGGGGCTCCCCTCACTCTTTTTCTCTGTACATTAGCTAATGGCTATACTTTCTGATTTCTCCAGGTACGGCGTAAGCCCTGAGAACATTATCCTGTATGGTCAGAGTATTGGGACTGTCCCCACGGTAGATTTGGCCTCACGGTACGAGTGTGCAGCAGTCATTCTCCACTCCCCTCTCATGTCTGGTTTACGAGTAGCCTTTCCGGACACCAGAAAGACATACTGCTTTGATGCTTTCCCCAGGTAAGTTTACATTCATAAAACAAGGGCTAAGCTGCCACTTAAGCAATTGGATCACATTACAGAGTCAAGTTCAGACCTGATGCAGCCATTAACTGTGTGCCACTAATAAATATTTACTGAATGCAACCATACGTCTGACCCTGTGCTGGGCGCCAGCGGGGACATGGAGGTGAACATGACATATAGCCTAGTGAGAACCTGATCCCCTGGGCCTGACTCATTTGTATAAATCCACCAGATGATGGCTAAGGTCCTGGAATATGCTGATATCCCCTAGGACTGATCGAGTCAGCTGTATATAGGATATTATGCCAGATTAAAAAGGAGCTCTGGTAGTGTAGTGCCTAAGGCACTTGATTGCCAGAAAGCTGGCAGTTCAAACCCACCAGCCACTCCTCAGAAGGAAGATGAGGCAATCTACTTCCGTAGTGATACTCCCTCGGAAACCCAAGGAGGAGTTGCTATGAGTCGGGTCCTACTCAAAGGCACATAACAACAACAACATGGTGGAATACTGGTTAAAGCATTCAGCTGCAACCAAAAGGTCAGTGGTTCAAATCCACCAGCCAGTTTGTGGAAGAAAGATGAGGAACTCTTTTTCTGTCAAGAGTTACAACAGCCTTGGAAACCAATGGAGCAGTTCTACTCTGTCCAAAAAAAAAAAAAAGGTCGCTATGAGTCAGAATCAACTGATGGCAATGGGTTTTATTTGTGCTGGAATAAAAGAAATACCCACATATCCTAAAGGAACTTAGATTTCAACATCTGTTCCTATATTTAGATGGACACATCCTATTGAATCATGAGGAGCTACTCTGAAAAGATGCAGACTTATGTAATGAAGCAATTAGTGATATAAAAACCCCCAAATCAAACCCATTGCCATAAGTGGATTCTGACTTATAGCAAGCTTGTAGGGCAGAGATGAACTGCCCAATAGGGTTTCCAAGGTTGTAATTTTTTTTTTTATGGAATATTTTATTTTGTTATAGGTGAACGTTTACACAGCAAATTAGTGTCCCATTCAACAGTGCATATACACATTGTTCTGTGACATCGATTGCTATCCCTGCAATGTGTTGGTACTCTCGCCATTTCCACCCTGGCTTCCCAGTTTCCTTCTTTCCATCAAAGCTGTAATTTTTAGGAAGCAGACTGCCCCATCCTTCTCTCCCGGAGCAGCTAGTGGGTTTGAACTGCCATCCTTTCTGTTAGCAGCTGAGCACTTAACTACTGTGCCACCAGGGCTCCTTTAGCAATGATATAGCAACTTAAATAAAAACTACAAGCATCCCCAATTTTGAAATCTCTGTTTTCAGTCAGGTAGTACAGGTAAGGGGCAAGTACCATGCTCAGTTAATCTTTGTAAATAGAACTAAAAAGGAGAACTCTGTTACTTTGGAAACACAGGGACAGTATAAGTGAGCAAACCTACCTGCAACCCAAACCTCCTGAGAGCCAGCTCACTTCATCCTGCTCTCCCCATTTTGCCAGAACTCGTCCCCTGCAGAGGGGTCATCATCTCCTGCCATCCACCATAGAGGCACCAGAACCACTGCCAACCTAATCCTGCTGTATTCTAGTTCCCACTGATAGGAAAGAAGGAAGGAAGGTGGATACCTTTACTGTTGGTTTCTTGAATACCTCTGTTTGAAAAGCTCTACTTAAAAAATAAAGAAATAAATAAGCTGAAGAAATATTGTTTTTAATAAAAAGTATATGCCCCTAAACTTTTTCAAAATCCAGGTGTCCTAACATTGTGACAGCAGGACTGGCCAGCTCCTATTGCCATTTAAGAGAAAAAGCCTCAGCAGAAATAATGGACAGTTTTAGGGTTTTGAGTGACCCATTCATTGTTGTCATTCTGCTGTAGCTTACTTTAAAAAAAAAAAAGAGCATCATTCGGTTGCATAAGCATCTGTTACCCATACTGTCTCATTTCACAGGAAGAAACCTTCTGTTAACACCTTTGGTGAACTTCAGTTCTATGCCATTGATGCCAGGATTCAATGAAATTCCACTTCATGGGAAAGTCGAGCTTCGAATTTCTAGTGGTGTGACTGGGAATGCTAAGTAGGGCTAATGTGCATCTCAAATGTGGCCTTATTTGTGCTGAATTGGTAATGAGAGGCCAGTTTGTGGAAAAACAGATATTTAGCATGTCTGTGGGAAGAAATGCTAGGAGTTGTTACCTTGGCAACAAAATGAATAGGTTTTTTTTTTTCCCTAGCTCTTAAATTAGCATATATCTTAAAATACAGCTATGACAACCAATTGCAATTTATTAATTCATGATCAATTAGCAACTAATCTTTACTTGATAAACCAGGCTTTGGGCTAAACATTTTATGTTCATTATCCCACTCAGTCTTACCAACAGCCTTAAAAATTGGTCCAATTATTGTACTCATTTTATAGATTAGGAAATTGAGGCTTAGAGAGATTAAGTAATTTGCTTAATTAATATGGGTGAGTAGAGGCAGCAATACATAAATACATAAATGCCATTTCTCATATTCAATACTATAAAGTATTGATATAGCAGATTTCAAACCATTAACAGTCGTGTTGACTTTCATCATGAATTGAACTTGGTACCTATGTTCTTATGAAGTCCATTGCTACCAGATGACAAAATTATCTCCATGTGGGTTCAGCTCTTTAAAGGAAAATATTTTCAAGTTTCTGTTTAATCTTAAAACAAAAAAGGAAAATAAAGAAAAAGGATTCTGATCATTATTTGGATGGTTGTCTGTTGTCCTTTACCTCGTTTACAGTTAGGATCAGATGGTGGCATATGACTTCAGATACACGCTACAGGAAGTAAAGATTCTCCTAAATTTTCTAGCATTCCACACAGTCCCAGGCCCTTTGTAAACCATTTGCCATTGAGCCAGTTATAACTCGTGGTGACCCCATCAGTGCCAGAGTAGAGCTACTCCATAGGGTTTCAGTGGTTGATGCTGTGGAAGTAGAGCTCCAGGCCTTTCTTCTGAGGCACAGCTAGGTGAACTGAAACCTCCCCCTTTCGGGTTAGCAGCCAAGCACCTTAACCCATTTGCAGCACCCAAGACTCTAGGCCTATTGTAATCAAGCAGTAAATATTTTTTGAAAGGAATATAATTGAACCCTCTGAATTCTTAGAAAAGGAAGTCATGTTGGAATTAAATATAAGGGGAAAGTAGATTTCCAAACAAGATGATTAGTCTTTAGATTGTAATACTACCCCAGCCACTCTGATCCTTGCAAATTACGTGGCTGGTGGAGTTTAGCAATCATCCTGGGCTGTCTTAACGTACTATGATGTCTTGAAGCAGCTGGCTGCTTCATGTCTTGTTAATAAAGCCTATCTGATGGTTGTTTGTAGATCTTTGGAATTTGTAATTGATGTCAGAGCTCTTTATTATCTCTCTGCCTCATGCCTGTTATTTAATAATCTCTCCGAGCTTCAGTTTCCTCATTGGTGAAATAGAGATGGTAATTCCTCTTTCATTGTGTTGCTTTGAGGATTAAACAGGTTTTTAGTTGTAAAGTACTCTTCCAAAGCACCTAGCTATGGTAAGTATTTAATAAATGTTAGCTGTCACTTTTAACAAGGAATCCTGGTGGCACAGTGCTAGAGTGGTTGGCTGCTAACCAAAAGGTTGGCAATTCAAAGCCAGCAACAGCTCTGCAGGAAAAGGATGTAGCAGTCTGCTTCCATAAAGATTTACAGCCTTGGAGACCTTACAGGGTCTTTATGAGTTGGAATCCACTCCGTGGCAATGGGTTTGGCTTGGGTATTACATTTTAACAGAAGGCCCTGGGCGGTGCACATGGTTAAGCACTGACTACTAGCAGAAAGATTAGCTGTTCCAGCTGACCCAGAGGCTCCTCTGAAGAAAGGGCTGGGAATCTGCTCCTTAAAGGTCACAGTCTCAAAAACCCTATGGAGCAATGTTGCTCTGCACACACGGGATCACCAGCAGTCCGGATAGCCAGAAGTGGGATTCGACCGGACTGCAGCTAACATTATTTGTAACAAAAAAAAAAAAAAAAAAGGATTCCACAGATTATACTAGCAAATATCATTCTTTAACTCTGACAAGGATCAAATATGGTAAGAGAAGTAAACTCTAAGAAGGACTTTGGCAGGAGGACAAACTGGAGAGAGCTTCACTACTCTTTGATTTACTCATTTGCTAAATGACTGTTACCCCATCGGAGAAGTCTCCCACACACGCAGCCCTGCAGTGCCTCATGTCTTTTGAGTTCTGAATACTTTTTTCAGAGCCTGCAGCTCATTCTTTTGAAGATCCTCAAATATTCATCCTTTGAGGGAAGATTTGATTTTTGTAAACAGAGGTTATTTGGAGTCAAATCTAGGGATTACGTTAAAATTTCCAACGGAGCGGTACAGTATTTGATCAAAAATGAGGCATTAGCTTTTATGTAACAGGCATCTGTGAGTATCTTGCTAGTTGATTCTGCAGCTAGCTCTCTAAAAAACAGTTATGAAAAATTTAGAGCAGCAGTGGATTAAACATCTGACTTCTCAAGGAGACATGTTCAGATACATAAATTATGGACTGTTTTTTTTATAAGTCCTACCTCATAAATATGAATAAATCAGATATATTAGTTACTGGTTTATTAGTCCGATGGCTTTTAGGGCTCCATTTTTAATAAAAAATATTTTGACAAAAACACAATGGCTAAATGCAGCATGGGATCCTGGATTGGATCCTGGAACAGAAAAGGAACATTAGTGGAAAAATTGGTGAAATTGGGATACATTCTGGAGTTTAGTTAATAGTAACGATACCAGTGATGATTTCTTAGTTTTGACAAATAAACCACGGTAATATTAAGACGCTGCCCTCGTGTGAAAATGGGTTAGGGGTCTATAGTAGCTCTTTTTTATCTTTGCAACTTTTGTATAAATCTAAAGTTATTTCAACATACATTTTTTCAAAAAACAACCAGTTGCCATGGAATCAGATCCAACTTATGATGACCCCTGTGTGTGTCAGAGTAGAAGATTATTCCATAGAGTTTTCAATGGCTGATTATTTGGAAGTAGGTCACCAGATCTTTCTTCTGAGGTGTCTCAGGGTAGACACGAACTGCCAGCCAACATTCTAGTTAGCAGGCTAAGTCATTAACCATTTGCACCACACAAGGATTCAAAAAAGCAGTGTTTCCTTCCTTGTATGTGCGTATTGATTCACTTACTAAATATGATGCATGTTATCTGTGAGCATAACTAAAGGAGTCCCTTTTCTGTCCCTGCCCCCTTTCTGTTTTGCAGCATTGACAAGATATCTAAAGTCACCTCTCCCGTATTGGTCATTCACGGTACAGAGGATGAGGTCATCGATTTCTCCCATGGCCTAGCCATGTACGAGCGCTGCCCTAGAGCCGTGGAGCCCCTCTGGGTGGAAGGGGCTGGGCATAATGACATAGAGCTTTATGCACAATACTTAGAAAGGCTAAAACAGTTCATATCTCATGAGCTTCCTAATTCTTGAAGAAGACAACTTGATTTTACCTCATTTACTGTGAACAGAAGAGTCCTCTGTTTTGCACATGCTTTAACTGGATCGCCAGAACAACTTGATAACCATGAAGAAGTGCCCAACCTTTAGGGTGTTCCAATCAAAGAGCTGATGACATCTCAGCCTTTTGTGTCTAGAGGTTGTTCTACTAATTTACACAGCATGTTAAACTGAACAGGTGCCATCTCCAGCTTCCTTTCCTTGCAGTGATGGAGGTGAGAGCTGAATGTGAGACGGCTTTCTTGTGCTCATATCCATGTTCTCCTCCCTCCCATCATTGATGCTTCATTCAGGCAGGACTCAACCATCTCTCCACCAATGTTCTCAGTATTTGACAAGCAGCTCTCTCTCAGCCACTGGATTCATGGGTGCGATCCATTTGTGAAGCTGTGATAGTGTAACTGGAAAACCTTTGTGCTGAAAATTCCTTTGTTACTTTTCGTTAACATGCTGATCCTTCCCCAAAAACAAATCGATTACGAAGAGTCATTTACTAGAACTCTTCATGGACAGCTTCAACAACTGTAACCACAGAGATATAACTGGAATATTCTTAAATAAAATGAAACTGGTTTGTTTTTTTTTTAAATGTAAATTTATTACTAGCCAACAGAGTTTTAATATTTTGATTGTCTTATTGATCTAACAAAGAGCCTCACAGACTTTCCTTCTGTAAAGTCCTCCTTGTAGGCCTTTTTAAAAGTACTGTACATACTTGCAATTACATTGTGCATAGATTCCTAATGGGTGGTTTTCTTTTGTTGGGCTACAACGATGAACTGCAGATTCCTTGTTTGTAATGTAAATGATTGAATACATTTTGTTAATATGTTTTTATTCCTATGTTTTGCTATTAAAAATTTTATAACATTTCCAAGACAAAAATTCCAAGTTTATGCTTTGAAAGAATTTATGTAATAAAAATTTCACTAAACTAATCTTTTTCATTTAAGGGTTATTTGGTTTTTTGACACTGGAGTTGCGCCGAACAAGCATCAGAAATGTAAGATGCTTAAAATTGCTACACTACTTGTATTGGTTGGGGGTTTGGGTTTGGGGATCCTTTGGTTCTATAGGCAGTCCCTGGATTATGAATGAATTCCATTCCTAAATCTGTGTTTTAAGTCAAATTTGGATGTAAATCAGAACAGTTAGGTACAGTTCATATCTAACATCAGTCAAATGTTTGTATTAGTATATAGTGTACTTTTCTATGCATAAAAAAGCATTAGAGAAACACTTCCAGATACATTAAAACATGTTTAACATAATAATATAAAAATAACAATGTTTCCAGATGCATCACAAAGTAGTACCCGTTTGCTATTAGGAACCATTGTCTGTACCCGTGAATTTTTAATGTAATAGGCTTTACGGGGAGTGGGGTTGGTTCATAACTACGGGCTAGACACTAGTCGGATATGAGACAGATGTTCGTAACCCAGAGACTGCCTATATTTTGAATTCTTTTCCAATTTAAAAGCCTTAAATGTACTGTATGCCTCAGATCGTTGTACACCTGGATTGTGGTTGATTGCCAGTCTGTGTACTGTTGCTTGGATGCAGCACAGTGGTTGGTGATGGAATAAAGGATACATGGATCAGAATGCGTGGGTTTGTGCAGTTTTTTCCTTCATCAAAGAAAACCATGAATCAGAAGATAGTGTTTTGTTTTGGTTTAAGAAGAAATCCTTGAAGTTACAAACTTCACTCACTTTCTCAAGTTGTATGCTTTTGTTTTGTAAGAGATCCTAGATTACATTTGGAAGAAGCCAAGATATAAAACATCTGCATTACATTAGTGTGCAGATAGTATCTAAATACCATGCTGACCACAAAACAAGACAGTATTAATTAGGGCACCCTTGTAGTTATCTGGCTCAGAGGGTGAACAGTGCCTGTTTCTTGGGGAAGGAAAGAGCGTGTTCTCATCAACCTGAGTAGAATGTTTTTGTGTGTTCAGTGGAGTCTTTTGAAACCTGTGACCACCTGACCAGGAAAAGACTGAGGATGCTAATTTTCAACTAAGGAGCCCTGGTGGAGCAATGGTTAAGTACTCAGATGCTAACTGAAAGGTTGGCAGTTCCAACCCACCCAGCTGCTATGCAAGAGAAGACACCTGGTGATTTGCTCCCATGTAGATTACAGTCTAGGAAACCCTTTGGGACAGTTCTGCTCTGTCGTATGGAGTCGCTGAGAGCTGAAAATCGACACAAGGGTACCTACCTAACAACAATAAAAATTTTCAACTCTTTGAGCTTTCCTCACGTTTTGAGGACGTGGGACTGGGCACGTATGAGTACTTATCTGTGCACGTGTGTGTGCAGGTTACCTCTGATCTTAGAGTGTTGATGCTAGGTGGGGAGCCTAGTAAGGGTGAGTACTGGCTTGTCTCAGGGAGTCGTTAGGGAAGCTCCAGAGATGATACATGCCCCAGAACTGCAGGAGACTTCCAAGGGAAAGAAGCATTGCTAGTGGCCTGCCTTTGGGGCTTCATGTTGCATGGAACAGATCATGTTGCATGGAGCAGAGTCATTTTTAACTCCTAGCAGCCCCATGTAATACAGTAGAACTGCCCCATAAGATTTTCTCAGCTGGGGGTCCTATGAATTGACGACCCCCAGCCCGAAAACAACCACTGCCATGAAGTCAATTCAAACTCATAGCAACTCTATAGGACAGAGTAGAACTGCCCCCATAGAGTTTCCAAGGCTATAAGTCGTTTTTGTAACTTTTATTGTGGTAAAAACATACACAAGACATTCACCAAAATAACTTCCACATTTACAGCTCAGGGACATAGATGACATTTTTCATGTTGTGCCAACATTATTGCTATTCTTTTCCAAAATATTCCACCACCATTAGGATAAAATCATTGCCTGCAAACAAAAGCCCATTTTCCCCCCTCCCTCCTACTCCTTGTAACCACTAATAATCTTTTATATACATGTATATATATATGTATACCTTTTCTTAACTTTTTGCAATAGTGGACTAATACAAGGAGCTCTGGTGGCACAGTGCCTAAGGCATTTGACCATTAACCAAAAGGCTAGCAGTTCAAACCCACCAGCCACTCCTCAGAAAGAAGGTTGGGCAATCTACTTCCGTGGTGATACTGCCTCAGAAACCCAAGGAGGGGTCGCTATGAGTTGGAATTGACTCAACGGCAGTGAGTTTTTGGTTTGGGACTAATATAATATATGTCCTTCTATGATTGACTTACTTCAGTCAGTATAATGTCCTCCAAGTTCATCTACATTATGTGGCGTTTTGTAGATTCTACATTATTCTTTAGTGTTGCACAGTATTCCATTGTGTGTGTATACCACAGTTTGGTTATCCATTCCTCCGTTGATGAGTATTTAGGTTGTTTCCATCTTTGCTATCGTGAATAGTAAGGCTGTAACTCTTTACAGTAACAGATTGTCATCTTTCTCCGCAGAGCAACTGGTGGATTTGAACTGCTGACATTTTGGTTAGCAGATGAATGCTTTAACTACTGCACCACCAGAGTTCTTTAACTGACACCAACAACAATCATTACAGCAGAAACCCAGGTCTGTCTTCTGCAGAGCTGCTGCGTTTTGGGCTAGAGTGCAGCTAATCTAGGTTTCTGGAGACCTGGTTTCTGATTCTGTTTATATACTGCTTACATCTTGTGCAGTGCCTAAGGCATTTGATTGCCAACCAGAAGATTGGCAGTTCAAACCCACCAGCCACTGCATGGAAGGAAGGCTGGGCAATCTACTTGTGTAAAGATTTGCCACTTCAGAAACCCAAGGGAGGTTGCTGTGAGTTGACATTGACTTGATGGCAGTGGGTTTTTTGGTTTTTGGTTTTTACATCCTCAGTAACCTTTATCTCTTTGTTCCTCTAAAAATATTTAGTAAATTTCCCTTGGCAGCCAGGTGTCCAGCAATGTTCATGGGAAATAATAATAAGATTGGCAATAACAGAAACTAAGGTGGAAAAACTCTTTCACATCATTGCTTTGTGACTTGATGTGGTAGTTTTTACCTATTTAAGGTAATTCCTGTGTTCTAATCCTGAGTTTTTTTCCCAGAACTGAAGACTGGATTTTATCTGCTCTCATCCTGAGTTTGAATGCAAGACAGCATTCCCCTAAGGATAGCTTGTGCGGCAACAGCAAGAATTCTAGGAGAGCGCTTCAGGGGATGCCCACAAGTCAGCCTTCTTTTTCCAGAACAAGGTTCATTTAGACCTGGGGTGGATTTGCATTTTATTTTCACGAGATGGAGAAGGCTCTTCTCTCTCGGATTTACATGTTTTGTTTTTCATAAATAAAGCATTGTACCTAAGAAAATAACCTAGCAGGAAGAGGGTGCAGTTGGCAAGAATATATAATGTGTGTTATTTGCATAAAAGTATGGTACCATTTCTTTCTCCCTAGTCAAGAAGAAGCCTTGGTGGCTCAGTGGTTTAAGTGCTTCTCTGTTATTAGTGGTTTGAACCCACCCAATGGCTCTGCAGTTCTTACTCCATGAAGATTACATCCTAGAAAACCCTATGTGGCAATTCTTTGTCACATGGGGCCACCATGAGTCAAAATGGGCTTGTTGGCACCTAACAACAGTCAGGAAGGGAAAAATCAAGTGACTAAAATCATTTCAGGGTATAGAAAAGCTATAAATAGTATTTATAATAATGAAAATTCATGCTTAGACCTGTGACAGTCATTATAGCAGAAACCCAGGTGTCTGTCTTCTGCAGAGCTGCTGCCTTTTGGGCTTTCAGAAGCATTAAAGTAAGGACGTAAGAATAGCATTCAGAGCATGACATGTTAACATATTATTAATTCTGCTTATTGTAACTATGTTTTATAATCCCTAAAGTTAAGCAGAGTAAATAATACAAAATTGGGTTGGTCACCATAATCTCAGGGAAATCAAGTCCTACTTTAAATCATAGATGTGTTATAGTGTGGTGACGTGTCCTTCCAAAACTGGAGAGAATGACTTTTATGATGTCAAAATAGAAAAGATGTTGTCTTTAAAAAAAAAAAAAATCTGCTCGCTCTTCAAGACTGAATTTGGAATAAGGGAACCGTTTTGAGGCTTGAAAGAGCAGATACATCATTAAAGACACTCCTCATGGGAACATTTTCCTGATTCTTGATGTGTGGAGGAAGAATGTAGAGTCTCTAGACTTGTGGGCCTCAGGAAGTGATCACAGGGTAATAAGTCTGAAGAGAACCAACTGGATGTATTTTCTTGATTGAGGGACAATTGTGTTCAAGGAGAAAACTCAAATGTCTCCCTTCTCAGAGCTT